AAATGTGATCTAATACTTCAATATGTGCAAAATATAATGATAATTGTTTATATTATTGAAAAATCAAAAAAGGCTGCAAGTAAATGCTGTATCTCAAATACTGCAAAATACTTTATTTTTGCTTGGAATTAATTTTCGCTGAAGGAATGATTCAGTGGAAATTAAATCCAGCGAATTTACTATTTTCCTATATTTTACATTCAACTCGTCAAAAATCAGTGAAAATAAAATCCACACAAAATGTCTTCTCAGCAAAAATTAATTCCAGCTAAAATAAAGTATTTCACAGTATACTGAATTTCTTAGCTTATAAATACTTTAGAACCATGTAACTTAGCAACCACAACACTGTTATGTTTCAATCTTTTTGAATTCTGATTTCAAGATTGCATGCAAATACCAGACTTAATATTGATAATTAAACTTAAGGTAGCGAGAAGGTTTTGTGACGTTTTTAAATAAAACATTCTCTGTCTGTTGTCTCGTTCAGAACAGTAATTTAGGTTATATATATCAAAAGACTTAGAGGTGCAAGTTCGCACAAACTGGACAGACATTGTTTACATAATTATCACGTGACATCAAAAAAGTCCGCGATTGCGAGAGCACACACGTCATGCATTGTTCGTAATCAAGTCCATTGAAATGCGTCTCCGACAATCAAAAGACCTATTATTCCAATTTCTATGTAGGTTTGTTTTTTTGTCCCCAAATTATTTCATACTTGGCACCTTTAACAGACTATTATTCTGTGACAAAGCATTTTCTTTAAAAACCCAGACATATTTCGCACCATCATTATCTTTTGAACGATAACTGCGAGTTTGAATGTCCTAGTCCGAACGCACTTGATTTGGCGGCGGTCCCAATGAGTCGTACTCGATCAAAACTTCAACTGGAGAAAAACGCGAAAAACAGTTTTGGTTAATAAAACACTGTAGATTTGCATTATTATACACTAAAAATGGCCAAACATATTAACCACTGATATCATAGAACTCATAAAAAGTGTCAGATAATAAATAATTTCAAGCTCGAGCGTGAAAAATGAAGAAAACTGCTGGCATTTGAGTCCGTACTCCAGGAACGTTCGGGTTTTCCATTGTTATGCAAACGAACAACGAGGGATAACCCTCTGACAAACATTACTGTCCCACTGTACACGCTGACAGTTTACAAACAAGCTAATCCTTCAAGTGTCTCTGATAAGACATCTAAAACGGTTTTCATGGTGAAACAAAATGGCCGATGTTTGAAAAAAAATTGCTGTGTCAGAGTGCGACACTGAGTGGCAGATTTTTCTTTGCCTCGTCTGTCAACGCTTTTTTTCTTTTCTTCGCCATTGCGTTAGAAAAAAAATGTATTAGTAAAATAGAATATTGACTTGGAAAATAAAACGATTTAAAAGAAAGTTGTGCAAAGTTACAGTACTCCTTCAGTTTCGCACAACCTCCCGCCCGCTTCCGCTTTCCAGTCACCTTTTTCTCTCGCTTTTGCGACCGCTTGTTGAATTCGACCGGGCAATTTCCGCTTTATTTTCGACCGCGCAAACCCCGAAATATCACCGCCCACCTGCTCGCTCGCGCGCATTTAAAATTCGGACTAACAGAATAATTTCCGAGGTTCACATTGTCTTATAGTTGTCTTTCTGGTTTTTATAGATGTTGAACAGCTGACAAAAGTTCAAATACTTTTTGTTTTAACTATATATAATTATATGCACGCAACCTGACCCTTTGACCTCGATTCACAGTCACTTGGGGGCTGAAAATCAATAAATACTAATTTTCAATAAAAATTATCCGCTATACGTATATAAATAAACAAGTTGTGAAACACGGCACCGAGTAAATCGACACCCTGTCGTTTTCAAATGTCGATTTTTTACCTTAAAATGCGAAACAAAAAGTGCAGAGGGGG